ACCAAAAAAGTCACTAATTTCTAGTTTTTGTACCATTTGATTATCATTGTTTTTATTATTATTTTTTCCTAAATGTACATTGTTTTTCTGTTTTTGTTCATTTTATACATATTTTTTGGTTGATTTTTCTTTGTTAAATGGCATTTAAATATATAAAATAAATATCAAAAATATAAATTTTTTTTTACTATGGTTGCAAATATCAAAAAAAAATACGAATATTTCTATATGTGACATGGCACCAGAGTTAAGTTAAGGTTTTTCAAAATTTTGACACGCCGAGCTCAAAAGGTTTGCCATCACTGCCCTAGAACAATCCTAAGAAAATAACTCAAAAATGTAGTTTAAAATAATCACTTGAATATAAGACAGAACTTGGTTGGAGATCCTGGCTAGAGAACCTGGCTAGGCTGCTGATCAATTGACCGCTGTCTCCACGTCATTCATTCTTCGCCGACTCTGTCCACACCTTTGGGAACCCCTGGACCTGCTGGGGTTGGACCCCAACATTTGGCTCCTACTATGTACCTACCCATCACTATCCAGGGCCCTAGAGCACTGGTTCTCAACCTTCCTAATGCTGCGAACCGTTAATACAGTTCCTCATGTTGTGATGACCCCCAACCATAAATTATTTTCGTTGCTACTTCATAACTGTAATTTTGCTACTGTTATGAATCCTAATGTAAATATCTGATATGCAGGATGTATTTTCATTGTTACAAATTGAACATAATTAAAGCATAGTGATTAATCACAAAAACAATATAAAAAATAATAGTAAAATAAAATAATCACTTGAATATAAAACAATCCCCAAATGCATCCCTCTTCACTTCATTACATCACTACTAATCTTTCAATTATCCTTGATAGGCTGGCATTATACAGAGTAGCCAAAGGGCAGAGAAAGATGGCATGGCCACCACACATGTGCTTAGAAAGATTTCCCAAAAATGTTTTGTCCTACTTCAACAAGCAATCCATCCCAAGACTTACCCAACTTCTTGATGTACCAGTTTCTTCCACCTTGAGACCCATTCCAGTACAGGGCCCCTGCTGAGCTCACCAAGGCCATGACCAACAGGATGCCAAACAACACCAGAATCTGCACATTGGTCACTTTCTCAACATTCGATCTCTTGAGAGGAGCTTTGGTGGAATTCTGTACAATAGCATTTAAAGTCCGTGAGGATCACAGAACAGACTCGGGGGCAAGGAGTGGGGAGAAAAGGAGGTAAGTTACACAAATTCAACTCATAAAAAGTAAAAGACTATATTTTTGCCAAATAATCAATGAAATTCTTAAAATGTACCATATTCCTGAATCAGCAGCTAGTTTTATTTTTTATTTATTTTTATTTTTTTTGCTACTAGGTGGTGTTCGTTTGTTTTGGAAAAAAAATTGATTTAAATTCTTTATTGTTGAAAGTATTACAATGTCTCCTTTTTCCCCAATGACCTCTCCCCACCCACTCCTGCCCCCCAGCACAGGCCCTCAACCCCCTACTGTCTGTGTCCATTGGTTTTGCTTATATGCATGCATACAAGTCTATTTTAAATAAAGATAACAGAAGACACATTCTATCATTTTCAAGAACACATTTCAACTCTACTTGTTTCAGTCAAATTTAAAGAAATCAGAATATTGCTAATTCAAGAGAAACTTAAATATTTGATATTGTAAAACTTTGGAAAGAATTTTCAAAGTAATAACATAGCTCCATAATTAATAGACAAAGATAAAATGTGAAAGTACATATTTAATTGAGAAAAAGACATACAAACACATACACATCAATAACGTAAAATAGAATGTCAACAGGTGTTAAAATAAATGGATGGGCAAATAATTCATTTGGAAATTGAACAAGAAATAAGCAGGAAAAGTCAGGAAAGTTCTAGTAGCCAGAAGAAATTTGAATGGAGTCCTGAATCATAAACAGGAGATAAACAGGAAGATAAAACAAAAGCAGAAAGTCAACCCAACATCTGTAAATGTGCATAGTTGGATTTCTCACTGCTGCTAGAGAAACGAGCCCAGCTAGAACAGAGGCCAGTGTTGGGTAGTGAGTTTAGACATATTCATTAAAGCCAGATTCAAGAACCACTGCACATCAGGTGGAAAATTTGGGACTATACCTCTCAGCAGTGGAAAAGTCAATAGAACTATTTGCACTAGACAGTTATGCACCTAAAGTCATTTTATTAAAAGCTTTCTAAAGGTAAGTGTGGTAGGTAGAATAATGACCCCTACAATGATATCTATATCCTAACTAGAGGCCCAATGCACAACATTGGTGCAAGGGCCTTGGCCCTGGCCCGCGCCCACCGTGGCCGCACCGGGGGCCTCTGCCTCTGCCCCCACCCGCTGCAGCTTTGTCCAGAAGGAAGGATGTCGAGAAGGATATCCGGTCTAATTAGCATATTACCCTTTCATTATTATAGATAACTGGACCCTATGAATGTTACCTTATATGATAAAAGGGACTTTGCAGTTGTGATTAAATAAAGGACTGTGACTTGGGGAGATAATTTTAGAATATCCAAGTGGACCCAATTTAATCACACATGTCTTTGATCAGGAAATGTGACTGCAGAAGAATGGTCACAGAGATGCAACATTGTTGGCTTTGAAGCTGAAGTGGGGAAGGAGGTCATGAGACAGGGAATTCAAACAGCCTCTAGAAAGTCAGAAAAGGCAGGGAATATTCCCCTCTAGAGCCTTCCCAGGTGCTCTATAGGACGGAGTGCTGCCTGCAGACACCTGATATCAGACTTCTAACCTGCAGAACGGTAACATAACAACTTCAGGTTGTTTTAAGCTTAAATGTGTGTAAGTTGTTAGAGCAGCAATAGGAAACTAACACAGTAATACAATGGATGGTAATAATCCACTCCTGGAGAGTGGTGAGCAGAGCCTAGATAAAATCAGAAAACCAGAAGTGGACAGGGAGATGGGCACAGGACCTACAGTCTGCAGGTCTCCCTCCATGAGTCATGACCCCGTCTCTTTAGAGGCAACACTGATTTTCAAAGATCAGGTGGTTTGAAATCTTAAGGCACTAATGGGCCATTAAAATGTTGCCTTGTGCCAAACTGAAGTCAGAACTCTCCACCTGGCTCAATTTATCTGAACATTAACAGAGCTAGGATGAAAAATGTCTCTGAAAAAAAGAATACAAATAAAGTCACAATGTGAAAATAAAATCAAGATGAAAATAGAAGGTAATTCCTCAGTTCCATAGAAAAACTCATACCACAACATCTCTGAAATTACCTGAATTCTATCACCAACCTCAGAAACGCTACTCTTATGGCCATGGTTTTCTGTGGGGGTGGGGAGATGGGGAAGTGTCTTACTGGCCATTTTGAAAAGCTAAGTCCATTAAGGTATCTTAACAGCACAACAGCATTTTCCTTTCTATACTCTTTTCTCCATTTCACTTTAGTTCTCTAAATTATTTTCCCTTTACACACTTTTTAAAATTCCTCTAAAATATAAATGAAAATCCATTAGTAAAAGCTGACCTAACGCCAGTCAAATACCATCTAAAGGTCAATGGAGGACACATCACCTCTGGCCTCAGGTCAAGAGCCAAGAGACCAGTTGCAAGATTGCCTATCCCCATCTTTTATAACTAAAGATGATCTTTCTTATAATTTCTAATAAGCATTCATTAGAGGCACAGGCAGAAAAAATTTACAATAAATGTCATTTTCTATGACTCCATTCATTTATGAATTTTTTTATCTTCTCCAGTGGTTAAATCCTGACCAGTTAACAGGGCTGAGAAAAGTTATCTTTCATGCAACACAAGAGGCCGAAACCTCAGGCTTCAACACATGCACCTTGTAGAAAGCCAAGCTGTGCCTACTCATCCCCATATGCTGACCATGTCGGCTGACAAGGATGAGCTTGTAATGTGAAATTCTGACTAGCATTATAAGGACTGTAAAATTCTTAGAAAGCACTGCTACTTCTGAATAATGGAGATCTTAATAGAAACAGGCCAAAGTGTTAGATTCTGTAAAAGCTTATATCTGACCTGAATTTTACGCATTTCATTTCCTCCTAAGAAAGCGGTCACTAGAGTACTAGTTAGAACATGGACTCGAACCAGACTGCCAAATCCCAGCTCTCTCTCTCACTGGTGTGTAACTTTGGTAACCTACTTGGACACTGTGTGCCTCAGTGTCCTCATCTAAAAAATGGAAATAATAGTATCTTCCTCATAGAGCCATTGTGAGGAATGAATGAGTTAATACATGCAAATTCCTAAAACAGTATATGGGGCACTAAGTGTTTGCTGCAATTACTATAATATCTCTCTTTCCCATTCAATCAACCAACAGAAACAACAGACATTGAAATATTTCTACATGTAACTACACTAAACATGAAACAAGGGAACTGTGAAGAATAGAAGGCATTGAGGTGAGAGTTTGAAAAACAAGAACAAAGTAAAAGAGCCCTAAAGCAACCATGTTTCCTCTCTGTGGCCAAGTAGGACAAGTACAGACAAAAACGTTATTTCCCAAAAGGATGGCTTCCACTATGTCTGTTAATCCCCTGTGAAAGCGCATCATTTTTACTACTCGTTTCAGCCTTATAGGCACAGAGACTCTAGCACAGACACTTCTGGGCCTTTCCATTATCCTGTACTTAAAGAATTAGCATGTAATAAATCTTGCAAAGAGGTTTATCACATCTTGGTGCAAGGAAAAGTGCCCATCACACTCATGGGATGCAGATTTACAAGGTAACAGGACACACCTTGCTCGCTGAAGAGATGATGGGATCATTTTAAATGTAACTTAATTATCTCATAGAACTTAGCTACAAAGCTCTGTTACCAACATATGATCTAGAAAAACAGTATTACACCCTGAGGAAACAGCCAGTGTACCAGGAATCTTGAAGAACAGCTAAATTTGTAGCATGCACAATCTAAAAACTAGACTTGGGGCCCTGCCCAAATTTAAGCTAATCCCTGGATCTCTTTGTCACTACATTAAAAAAAGAAGTGGTCTGTGATTAGTGAGTTTCAAAAGAGTTAGACAATGGAAGCTGGCACTGGACTGGGGAAATTAGAAAATACTAGTTAGGTAGCAGGGCACTATTTATCAAGATAGTCTTCATATACAGGCTGCTCAGAACCACCAAACTTAAAACTGTCTAACATGCCCTTGGGAGTGGGTGATGATCCAGCAGGAAGGATAGATCAGACACAGGTCAGATATACTGAATAATCTTAATCCAAGAGCTGCCTCTCAGCATTCACCAACTATTCACTTTTTAGCTGAATAGTTTTAGATCCCCCACTCCCACATACACTCACTCTGTAATCTTTCCACCACACCACCTAGAGTCCTACCATTCCAGGTCCAACACATCTCTATGTCCTTGCCCTCCTTCAGAAGCTGTTCTCTTGCCCCGTGCCTTCCCCGGCAGGACAGGCCTTCCCTGAAGGCCCCTCAAGCAGACTCGCATCCCTCAGATTCTGGGTAATATTATGGAATGTATATGTGGGACTCAGCAGTACTTCAGATATTTCATTTTTCTAATGCCATGTGAAAACCCAATTGTAAAATTCATGCCATTTGGCAACACTGCCTTCAACCTCTTCCCTCAGCAAGTCCTCCGACCAACTGGCTCATGGCATCCATCTCTACCCCAGCCTTGCCATGATCCAATCTTTAAAGTCACAGCATCGACCCATCAAATGCCATAGTCTCTCAGTCCTTTACTCCTCAACATCAAATGGCCTCCAACAGCTCTACCTTTAGCTTTCTACTCCCATGAATCACTCCCAGGTCTCCTCACTCTATAAACCTTCCACCCTAGAAACTTGAAGACAAGCACCCTACACCCTGATCAAATGTCACTCAGAAACTCCAACAATCTTCTTCAACTTCACCCTCTAATCCTCCCCATCTATTGAGGTCTATCACTTCATCTGTTCTATCAATGGTTAACTCTCTCCTACATCATTTAACCTCAAAGAGTAGACCAACACAATAGCCTCCCTTCTCTAACTTTATTTCTAAAATGTGCTCCTTAGTATCATTCTTAGTAGCTAGCCAACTGACGTGCCTAAACCTGGGTTGGCTGACCCTTCGATATGCACCCATAGTGCTTTGCAATGACACATATACAACAATGACCTCTCTACTTCATAATTCCCTGTTACTCCTCAGTGCCCATGGCTCCAGAGAATAAGGCTGGGCCTTTCAGTATTGTATCCATACAGCTTGGCACAAGACATGGTGCATAGTGGTCACTGAACATTTTTTAGTTAAGAAACATAGTCAAGTACTTGCTTTAGAAGTTATATAAAAGGCCAGATAAGCTAAAAAGCTAATTCTCATTAATAGTGACCATTAGTAAAATAAGATGCCAAAAAAAAAAATAAGATGCCAAGTGATATCAAAGAAATATAAGAAATTACACATAGGGACACTGATTTATGCAGAATTTCAAGCTAGTCTAGCAAAATATGTCATAACCAGAGGCCCAGTGCATGAAATTCGTGCACTTATGGAGGGATCCCTCAGCCCAGCCTGCACCCTCTCGCAGTCCCAGAGCCCTTAGGGAATGTCCAACTGACAGCTTAGGCCCACTCTTCCCAGGGAGCGGGCCTAAGCCAGCAGTCGGACATCCTTAGCGCTGCCGCAGAGGTGGGAGAGGCTCCCGCCCTGCGCTCGCCAGCCATGAGCCTGGCTTCTGTCTGAGTGGCGCTCCCCCTGTGGGAGCGCACTGACCACCAGGGGGCACATCCTGCATTGAGTGGGATCAGGCTGAAACTGACTCTCCAACATCCTCCAAGGGGTCCTGGATTGCGAGAGGATGCAGGCCAGGCCGAGGGACCCCACTGGTGCATGATCGGGGCCGGGGAGGGACACAGGAGGTTGGCCAGCCGGGGAGGGACTGCAGAAGGGCTCCAGGGCATGTCTGGCCTGTCTCACTCAGTCCCAATTGGCTGGACCCCAGCAGCAATCTAACCTACTGGTTGGAGCATCTGCCCCGTGGTGGTCAGTGCATGTTATATCAAGCAGTTGAGCGGCCTTAGCATATCATTAGCATATTACGCTTTGATTGGTTGAACGGATGACCGGACACTTAGAATATTAGGCTTTTATTATATAGGATGTAAATGTGATCTGCAAATTCGCAACTAATTTAAAAATATTAACAGGGAGCCGAAACCAGTTTGGCTCAGTGGATAGAGCGTCAGCCTGTGGACTGAAAGGTCCCAGGTTCGATTCCAGTCAAGGGCATGTACCTTGGTTGCAGGCACATCCCCAGTGGGAGATGTGCAGGAGGCAGCTGATCGATGTTTCTGGTTCTCTATCTCTCTCCCTTCCTCTCTGTAAAAAATCAATAAAATATTTTTTAAAAAAATATTAACAGGGAGAAAGAGCAATACCATTTTCATTAATTTTTTTGCTATATGAAGAATAAACATTAGTTAAAAAATAACTGATTTTAAATTAACTAGAATTGAATTAAATAAGACAATTTACTATACAATCCTAATTAATGGGGGTGAGGCGCAGAAGTAGTGAGAGAAATAAGGAAAGAACAAGTCCCCTCTTAGGTCCAGAACTGATTGTCCCCCTAAATCCAGAAAACAAAACCACTGATATTTCAAGCAGGGGGTAACAAATATATGATATAATAACAGAAATCTATGAGAAACTACCTAAAGAACTAAAATAAAGGCACTTCCTTACAAAATTTAAGCTCACAAACTCGAGCTTCCTAAATACAACATCTGCATTTCTACTCTTTATTCCATAAAAACAGCAATTTTTTTTAAAAAAAAGACTAAAGTAAGCATTGTTTTTCAGTATAGAAATGTTTTACCTGCATGAGTTTGGTGTCGTGTCCAGTGTAAACAACTATGCCAAAGACCCACTGAGTGTTTCGAAGCTGTGTACCTCTTAATAAGATCTGGTCAGGCCCAAGGGAAACAGGACTAAAAATAGGAAACAATATTTGTATTCAATGGTAGTCTGACAAATGAGCATGAGCTTTTCCCCTTAAACATAAACCCACAACAAATCAAATGTTTCCTTTACTCAAATTTGAACTATTTCACTGAGACAATAAAGGTTACCCTTGGCTTAATCTATAAAAAAGGGGGGGGGGGAGAAGAAGAAGACCCACAAGAAAGGTTTCTCTTATCCATTCATCACTACAAAAATATTTTTTGTTTTTTCCTATAAAATGTTAGAGGGAATTGTATTTCTTATAACCCTGTTATGAAACTCAACACCAAAAAAAAAAAAAAGAAAAAGAAATTGCTAAAATAACCAGAAATTTATTTTATAGTCTATTATAGAGGAGAAAAAAATGCTATAATATCAAATTTGTCGAGAACGGCTTAATGATTAGATAAAAGGCTGAGCAGTAATTTAGAAATTCAAAATGGGAGCCTATGCAATGGCTCTGCACACTAAACGAAAACCAAGAAAGTAGGCACATGTGGTTGTTATGGTTATTCTGGGTTGATTACCATGATCAGGTTCTTCTCTATGGGTCTCTTCAAAATATATAGGTGGGAAGCATTGATAAAAAGCATGCAGATTAAAGATGGGCAGAAGGCAGAAACTACTCCCCAACATAATGACAAAAATGATTCTCCACCAAGAAAACAATGCCAAGAGAACAAAGACAACAGAATATAGACAGCAGTGAATATTTTAGAAGAAGACTAATTGTTGTTCCTTTCATTTAACCTACTTTAAAGAATGCTAGCAAAAAGAAAAGAAAAGAAAACAGGTTCTCTAATAAATATCAGATTTCAGACACCTCCCTTCTGCTTTTCTGGATAATTTTATGCAGCCAAAACCATCTCTCCTCCCTGGCAGGTAGTACATACAGAAAGAACAGGATGGTGCCCTGAACATCATTTCAGACCCTCTGGCTGTTTTTTCTGAACAAAAATCAGTTCTTTCCTTAAATTTAGGCAATGGTTTAAATCGATTAAAACAGTGTTTCAAAAGAAGGTGAGTCTCACATATCTAAGCTAGACATGAAGAAATCTCACTGTTTTTGAGATATTATGAAGCCAGAAAACAAACTAATATTTTCCAAAGCTTCAGCAGTTCTTAGTCCCATAATTAATAAATAAATAAATAAATAAAAATAAACACCAAGAAAAGGGAAAGTGATACCTTTTTCCATCTAAATTCAAGTTTCCAGTGAAGTCATAGAGATGCCGGTTGGGCCCTTCACATTCTACAGTTCCAGATAACTTCATCAATATTTCCCTTGTTTGCATATCAGCAGTGCAATTCAAACCCTAAAATGTTCAATCAAAAGAGGAAATTGATTACAGTCTTCCAGATTTAGGGGTAGCATTCCACATCCTACTGTTAATCTAAAGAAATTGATGAATATTATAAAATGTATTTTTTAAAAAAAAGAAATCAAGCTATCAGCCCATGAGATCAGTGTTACAGGTAGCTTTTTTTTTCTTTTTCTTTTTTTTTTTTTTTACAGATAGCAGCCTAATGCAAAAGTTACAAAAGAATCAATGAAGCACAAAGTTAAGATTCCACCACTGTGCTGGAAACATCCATGTTTGGCAGCAATTCATATGCTCGAACAACTTCCAGAAAAGCATATTTATTAGCTGTACTCTAATACCGGTCATAAACAGAGAATAAAGCACCCCTTTAATACAGTATGATACTAGACCCAGTAACTCTTCCTTAAGCAGGAAAAAAGTCTAAATCAAATATTCAAGGTAGAAAAGAAAGATATGTGGACAGAATTATCAAATTCAACTTTATGCAGCATAAAATTTAAGTGTCAAATGTTTCAAATGCTTATTATGTTAGAAACTATTCTTCATTCTAGAATTTTAAAATACAGTAAGAATATACTTATTTAAAGGATGAAATTTTGTATCTAATAACTCACTCTTTGTAATTAGAACCTCAATTAAAACAATGGAAAGGAAGGTACCATTGTTTGTCTAACTTCATCTCTCTCATCCACCATGCAGCTCAACCCAGCAGAGGCTCTCTCTTCCCACAGACACTACCAGGCAGAGAGTGCAGTGAGATCTAAGTTAACACATGATACCCTTTCTGACTCAAACTTGGGTGAAGCCCACTTTTTTAGCTCTGCCATCACTTGTATGGAGTTCCCTTTATATTAAAAGGCATCTTCTCCCCATAGTTTCCATTAGGGTTAAGGCATAACCTTTTGTGGTAGAACACATTTTTCCTCTAGAAAACGCACTGACTGGTACCTGTGCGGATCAGATTTGCTATATGGGCCTCCATAACAACACCAGCCATAAAAGGTAACTTTACCTGGCGTATTTTAAGGTTCGTCTCCCCATCTAGATTCGCTGTTTCAACATAACACATTGCCTGAGGTTCACTAAGAAAAGAGAGAAAAGAAGCCAAAGTTTATTAAGGTCCCCTCCACAAAGCCACAGCTCAAAAAGAGTCTATTGTGGAAACTATGTCTGCTGACCAGCCCTTCAAAATAGTGTTATAAATGACCCTTGAACAATCCTAGGAGTTAGGGCACCAACACCTACTCTTCTGCACAGTAAAAAATGCAAGCTTAACTTTTGAGTCCCCCAAAATTTAACTACTCCCAGTTGTTCCCTGGTATCTGCAGACAATTGGTTTCAGGTCCCCCCTTACCAAAACCGTGGATGTTCAAGTCCCCTATATAAAATGGCCATAGATCACTGCATACAGTTGACTCTGTGCATCCTCAGACTCCCAACCCCGGATGGAAAACAAAACAGGTATCTAATGAAAAAAATGTCAATAAGTGAGTGGGCCCACACACTTCAAACCTGTGTTGTTCAAGGGTCACCTGCATAAACAACCACTTTAGTAGTAGTAATTGAGTAGAAAGACAAACACTTATCTTTGGAGCTCAACACCAATACAAGTGATCTGCCCTTATGGGCCCCGCAAAAGCTGCTTGACCTCAAGTAACAGAAATAGCCGAGGGTAAATGAGAAGGGGAGGGGCATGTTAGAGCAAACATGATGTTCCATGACCCTTGCAGTCTGAGACCTGGTCTGCTCCTCCTGTCCAAAAGTGCCCCCCCCCCGACACAGCCAGTACAAACCCATCTTTTAAAGAAAATCATAGCCCAAAGGGTTCACGAACCAAGGCACAGGCTTGGCAAGCCTTTATTGCCCTGCACCTTCTACTCTGCCCACAGGTAACTTTTTAACCAAAGCACCTAATTTAAAGGACAGAAAACTCAAAGAATAAAATTAAGCAGAGCAGCTAACACTTCCAACCTTCGGGTTTAGGTGGCATAGTTAGTAGCTAAGAGAATGGACTCTGCCACCCACCAGCTAAGTTAAAATCTCTTGGCACTACCTTTATTGGCTACATGGTTCTAACCAGTTGTTCAATTTCTCTGCTTCTCTGCTTTTTCTGTGTAAAGTAAGGATATCAAGGGTTGCTGGGAAGATTAAATGGAACAATGTGCTCAGCAGGCTGCTTGGCACACAGTACAGAACCAAACACTAATGACCACCTGAAAACACGACGTCGGCTCAGAGAAACAATCTCATACTCCAACTGGGCTTCCTGAGGGCCACAACCAAAACGCTGACCCCGAACTATCAAGTGATCCACATTTTATGGAGAGTTTCTTTGTAACCAATCAGTAGGATAAAACATGAATGCTGCCCCATGTACACAGTGCTTTAACCCTCTATGGCAGAGGGTCTAGTTTTAAAACCTTTTATCTCAACCAGAAAATTCATGTTAAAACTTAAAATGTCATGTGTGATCAAATCCAATAAAAGAAACACTGTCTACAACCAAAGAAAATGCAAACTGTGTGAGCATCTATGATTTCCAACAGGAATATAGGAACTTTCAGTTTTCACATCATATCCTTTAATCTTGATTTCAAGAGTAAAAGTCTATACTTATTCAAATTTTGGCATTCCTTCTTTGATATATAATTGTATGTGTCAAGCCAAAGAAAAGTCAAAGACTGTGTTGCTCACTATTTACACCACTTAGTTATAACTTTCTAGTACAGAACTGCCTAGAAAACATGGCAATGATACTTGGGCAATGATAAAGGGAACAAAATGTGGACAAATGAGGAGGAAGCACCACCTGCAGGTCATGTCTACGCTGAGAAAATGCCTGCAGTTCTCTGAATAGCTAGTAAAGGGAGGCATTGGGTTCTGAATGAGAGGTTGTGGGCTGGACCCATCAGGAGAGGGGATGTGAAGTCTCAGACAGGCTGCCACCTGGAGGTTACTGGAGGGATCACTCCACTGTCTTGAATGTCTTCCAACAATGAGGAATATAGCCCAGAATAGCCATGAGAGTAAAATGAATTGATAAATAGGAGAAAGAAAATTTAGGATTAAGGCAGGAAAGAGTGAATGGCAGGCAATGGAAGAATAGGCCAGAAAGAGAAGGTTGGTGACTCAGAGTGGAAGGGAAAGGGTGGCTGGAGATGTCAGCAGGTACCATTTTATATTTTATTGTTCTTGACATTTATTTCAAAAAATGTGCTCACTATAGCACACCTGACCTGGAGGATAGCAGGATCATGTCTGCTGGAAGATACTGCCCATTGACGATCTTCACAATGTCTCCCACTGTCACCTAGAAAATCAGGGACAAGGACAGAGAAGCATGAAAGAAAAGAAAGCACAAATGGTGATAAGGTGGTTAAACATTTGAAGAAAAAATTACTGTATAACTATGCCATGAAGTTTAAAATGAAGAAGCCCAAATTATTTTTCTTAAGAACAATAAGAAAATCTTTCAATACAGACAAATGATACTATTGCCTCTTTGTGATGATGCTGAATGAAAAGAAAAGAAAAGAAAGAGATGGGGGACAAAGATGAGTCAGAACTATCAAGGTCTCATTTTCTTACAATTATTCATCCACTTATAAATTCCACAGCTGGATGCAGTTGGGGAGACTGGTTAAGTGCACAGCCCTGAATTCAAATCCCCCGCCTGTTAGTACTCCTTACCAGCTATGTGTAACCTTGAACTAGTTCTGTAAAGTTTGTGTGCTTTAGTTTTCTCAGCTATGTAATCAACAGCACTTATTTCATGGGGTTATGGTGAGGATCAATTGAGTTAACACGTGTAAATTTCTCCATTTTAAAATGGAAAAACTAAGGCTCAATCAAAGTGAAATAATTTGATCAAGGTCAGATAACCAAGATCCAAAACTAAGTAATCTGGCCAGTGGTATCATTAAAAGACAATACTAAACTCACTCCTGAACAGTCCATCTAAAAGGTCCCCTGGAAACATGCCACATAAAACAGAGAAGATTTGTATAGCTCAAGAAATTGCCAGAAAAATCACCATGGCCAAAGTCAGAGGCCACCTTGGGAAACAGACTCCACTGGACAGAAGACCCCAAGCCACAGAAACATGCCCCAGTCTGTAGAAAATGAGCACCATAGCCAAGCACCTATAAATCCTTTAAATCACATCATATACGCAGCTGGCTGGATAGAATGTAGGCTCTCGAGTCAGGCAGGCCTAGGCTCCAATCCCAGCTCACAGATACACTGGCACTGGGATCTTGACAAGCTCTTCACCTCTCTGAACTCCCATGTCCTCACTTACAAACTAGGGAAAACCACCACTGGCTGTGCAGGGTGGTGCAGTGTTTAAGGAAGTTAATGGGAGCACCTGGCATGAAGTAGGTACATGTTCAGTGCTAGTCTCCACCAGCAGGGATGTGAGTGAGTGGCTCTGAGTGTCAACGTGAAGGATAGTAGAATTCTCTGATGGCACAAGAAGAAAGGCCATTCCTAGTATACTAGCAATTCACAACTCAAAATGGGCACTATGTTTTCTGTTTCTTATTCTAACCCATGTTACTATTCTCATAGAAATCATGAATTTCACAAAACACAATACTTGTGAAAAACTACTGAATCTTGCAAGCTGGGAGAATGGCCCTAGCAGAGGCCTACATTTAATTTCCAATACTACAAAGGAGGGTTTACTGAAAGGTGTCCTATGAGTGCTGTGAACTGCTTATCACAGTGTGCGGGGAAATCTAAGGAAAAAGGCTCAAGGGTGGTAGAACTCAAATTCCAGAGCCACTGTAAATTTGAAGTTAGTACCCACTTTTAAGGCAAAAGGAAGTAAAGTATCTTCCACAATAAAGAAAAGTCAAAGAATAAATGCTACAGATCTCTTAACAGCATCAATACAAAAGCAAGAAATACCTATGAAAATTGAAAATGTTTTTAAGTGTAAAAATATTTTATGTGAACAGTTTAATTACATAGAAAAAATCAGAAGAAGCAATTAGTTTTAAAAACTAGAAAGAAAAATCAGTCATGTTTTCAAAAAAGGCTGTGGATTTTTTTTTTTAATTCAAAGTGGGAGGACAAGGGAAATTATGGCTTTCTCCGATCGTTATTACTGAAATAGACACAATTATCTCTCAATAGCAAAGTACTAAGAAGTTGCACACATATTAGATACTACTTACTTGGAACTTTGTTTGAAATGCTTTTCTATTTGGTGTGCTTATGTCTGATTTTCCCGTCAGGGTATTAAACTACCTAAATCAAGAAGTCTTAAGGTGAAAAGAGACACACACACACACACACACACACCAGGTCCCTGTATTCACTCTAGCCTCAGGGGATTTCTCAACTTGAAAAATAAGCCCAAAAGTCTTCTCAAAATCAACCGAAGTTGTCAAGATCCACCCCAGAGCTACCTCTCAGCATTTACCAATGATTCACTACAGCCTGGGGATCGCTGACTTGAGCTCTGGCAGTTCCAATCAGTGGGTATTGCTTTGGGAAGCTTAACGCGAGCCAGTTCCATTGTGCCTGCACATCTGGCACCTGTTACCACTGCCCTCTCGTCACCTGTCCTCTCATCCTATTCTGAGCAGTTCCGCAGATGTGCCTGGGTTTCCCAGTGCCCTATGACTTAAACTGGTTACCTCCTGCTCATCCTTCAAGAGGGCACGTGAGCATCTCTTAAGGAAAGCTGTTCCTGACCCTCCCAGGTGTGCCCAGCGCACCTGCAGCGTGCCCTACACAGAGCTCAGCAACAGCACTGCACGCTGTTCAGCTGCCTCTCACTTCCACCACACCAGTGGCTCCGCAGTGTGCTCCCCAGACCGGCAGCATCAGCCTCACCTAGAAACTTGTTAAAAATGCAAATTCTAGCCCGGCTGGCATGGCTCAGTGGTTGAACATTGACCTATGAACCAGGATGTCACGGTTTGATTCCTGGTCAGGGCACATGCCCAGGTTGCGGGCTCAATCTGCAGTGCAAGAGGCAGCCAATAAATGATTCTCTCATCATTGATGTTTCTATCTCTCTCTCCCTCTCCCTTCCTCTCTGAAATCAATAAAAATATATATTTACAAAATAAAAATTCTAGGGGCACTACTTGGAACTCCTGAGTCAGAATTTTTGAGACTGGGGCCCAGCACTCTGTGTTATACTGCCCTTCAGGTGATTGGGGTGCCTGCTGAAGTCTGGCAACCACTAGAGAAAACTCCAGTGCAGGGCCAAGCTTTATGATACTCATGTGCATCCCCAAGGCCTATCAGTCTCAGGTACATGCTGAGAACTCGATTTAAATAAACAAACAAAATGCATTTTTAATTGAAATAAAATAGCCAGTGGTAAATCATATAACAAGTATTTGGCTTCAGTTTATTTTTCCTCCAAACGCATGTGAGAAACAGTCACGAGCTTTCGGCGTTTGCACGGCCATCAACTCCTGGGCCCACAATTCAGAGATCATTACTCCATTTTCTGCAGTTTCAAATAGTGTCAACATCCCAAATCGTTCTCCACTCCAGCCAGTGTGAGTGCCTCTTTGGGGGAGGGGCTGGCAATAGGCGCCTTAGAGAAACAGGCCAGTCCTAAGTGCTGTGGGAACCTTGCGTTCTATAGCACTGGTAGCATTTCCACCCTCTGTGACATCAAGAGTTTCCAACCACTTGACCAAGAGCCACCACACTTCCAAATGAGAGTGGTGTCAATTAATACTTGCAGCACAGGACCTTGCACTGCTACCAAGGTTAAGGTGTATCACCAAACACTCTAAAGGGGCTCCTTTAACTAAAAGCAAAACAAAAACTAAAATGAAGGCTGCAGTTACCATACAGGAGATTAAAAGATCATAGAGGCATTTTAAAACATTGCTTATTAAACGTTTAGCAAGAGAAACTATTGTAAGTTACCCTTCTAAAAAGTAATCTTTTGAAATCTTTTAATCAGCTTCAACTCCTGTAGTAGTAAGAGTCATCCCCCAAAACATCTGTGACTTTTGAGAAGGCCCAGCTGAAACAGAGACTCACCTAAAAAGCTAATTTTATCAGATACAAGAAACCCAGAGGGCACAGCATATTTCTTCTAAATTTTCTATTCATCAGTATAAACAACCAAACACACACACACACACACACACACACACACACACACACACACACTCACAATTCCCAAACCCTGCAGACCTCATACCTCCAGGGACACAGCGGCAAGCCCTTCTGACCTCTGTAACATTAAGAGCAGCAACTACTGGCTGAAATGGGATGGTTTCCAACCTCTATCCCACCCCTAATTGAATCTCAAAACTCAAAAATATATATTTAAAACATTGAATTGAGGTTAGGAGAACAGAAGATTGTTTCTTGAACTGGATCTAGGAACCAGAAAATGTTTTGAGATTTCAGAAATATCCACAGCTCTGAACTGATGCAGTGAGCATTTGGTGAGTCCTAAGTAAATCTCATGGGGAAACGCCATATCTTAAAACTGACATTAAGTAGAGATGACCTATGTCTTAGAATAAACTTTATACTGTAATCAATATTAGCAATTAATTACAAGTCTCCAAACCAATACTTTTTGGCATATCTTTACAAACAGTTTTTACCTCTTTCCACATAATGGTATGCCACATACCATTTCTTAACACTGAAAAAGAAAAAAAACAAACAAGTATATAAGTTAATATTGATCATAAAAATTTTTCTAAAATCCAAAAGGCCCCTTTTAAAATTTCACTTATTAATCCCAACATACCATCTCCTTAGACATATAAGTATAATACCAACACTCCCCCAATCTATGTACCTATGTACCATATATAATACATTCATGCATACACATAAATATAGATGTATGTAAGTTAAATCTATTCATATTTAGCCCAGAAGAAGAAAAAAAATCACCCTGCTGTAATAAGACTTACCAAAAACAAAACAAAACAATAACAGAGCTAATGTCCTACAAGTCAATACAATAAAAAGTAGACAGAGAGAGGCATGGAGCAATTAAAACCAAGGACATGAATGCTTAGATGTTTTTTTCTATAAAATATGCCTAGCTCCTGAAAATTACAACCTTTTCTAAAATTCAAAAAATACACAAGTCCTATTCAAATATTAATTAACAGGGCTCACATTTTATTGCACTTGTTTATCATTTGCTATTTCTTTAAAGTATTTATAGATAATTTCCCCCAATTTATCTCAATACCACTAACTACTTATCTCAAATTCCTTAAATCTAGGCCTTTTCTCAGGTTTCCCAGTGGAAAAAGTGATCGGCCTGGTATCTTACCTATGGTTTTCTTTTTGTTAACTGCATTGTCTGCCTTATGTCGCTTCTGTTACAGAAAGAAAAAAGAAAAAAGTTCTTAGATTCAAAAGTTCCAAATGGATAACTGAAACAGCAAACAATAAGGGTCAAGGGGAGTGGGGGGGAAGGAAATCAACTACCTACAAAACTAATGCTCTACTGTTCAGTTCAATGGTTGGCGACCAGCCCTGCTCACTGAATTAGTAGATATGTTGTCATGTACTCTGGTTTAAATTACCATATTTAGATTCTAATGATGAGCAAGCACCTGAAGTATGAAACTTCTCACTCCTCCTTTGTTTCACATCAGACTGAAGAAATTATTCAGTATTATAAACACAACATTACTTGAAGCCATTTTATTGATTAAAAAACTTCTGGGACAAAGTAGCTTTGATTTGATTTGGATTACATTTGATCATTTACTTATTCCCAGAAAAAAAATGTGCATACGATGTGTGTTAGAAATTGCAAGTATGTGTAGTGAAAGGTTGGGGGAGTAGGGGAAGGGAAGAAAAAGAGCATGGAGTTAGAAAAGAGGATGACAGAATACCAATATGGCTGTAGCCAATGAACTTGGAGATGCACTGAGATTAGTATGAGGAGGGAGAACATTCTTGCAAAATCACCTCAGGCACAGCCAGCACAATGCTGCTATTCTAGACTGCAATACATTTGCCACCAACTTAGCAAACTCTACAGGAAGATGTAGGAACATCAGTGATAAAAACCAAAGGGGGTCCAGTGAACTAATATTAGAAAACATAGTTTGAACTACTTCAATGTCATTGTACAGACATTAAGGACACTGTATGTACATGTTTCCTCTCAAAAAAATATGCTACCATGACCTTGAGAGGCTAATTAAGCTATAGACCAATGTCCTGTCTTAAACAGAAAACCCGAAGCAACAAGTGAGTTATGTTATAGTCAATGCAAGGTTTTTATTATCTGAAAACAAAAACTTACAAAGTCTTCTACAATCTCTTTGATGCCTGCAATTGTTAAAATAATTATCAATGGCACCAGGGTGGTATATCTTCCTGTTGGAGATACATCTGGGATTTGCTGCAAGACAAGAGACCAAAAGAGAGAAGTTGGCAAATTAAAATCCTCTACGAAAAAAAAAAAAAAACAACATGACACTTACCAATCACTCTTCTGTGGTTCTTTTCCATTTCTGCTACACCACAATAATTACCTTATTTTAAAAACTAGCTTAGTGTGTTACATATTTTTAAAATTTTATCCAACATTGCTAGATGTAGAATAGAAAAAGAGTTAAAATTAAGACCCTCAGGCCATTTCTCAATGTCCATTTTAGTAATTGCAATGTAAGGCATACTTAAAGAAGTCTGCCTTTCAGCAAGATCATGTTAGTTCATGCAAACAATAACTGGACAAAGAAAGCAAATTACATTGAAGTATTATGATACTTTTTTAGGTAAGTGACCTTTCAGCAAAATCTCATTTTGGTTATGAACCTCATCAAGGTTATGAATTTTAAATAGATTTTAAAGAAACATTACCTGTAATAAGGCAATGAAGAGGAAGAAGGCATTAGCAGCTCTTCTAATCTGCTCATATAAGAATCGAGGTAGAAATGTCAACACGCTGTACTTGGCCGTACTATAAATACAAAGAAAAATACTACTATCAATTGTCAATATAAATTCTAAAAGACAAAAAAAACACAGTTTCAAAATTTTTACAAAGGATTTTACAAACAAAATATTTCAAAATTCAGGACAAGTAAATTCTTTGCTGGCCCTTGTGTACGCAGCTCCTTTTTATAAAAGGACATACCTGTTAAGAAAAAATTCCAATGTGATCTTTGTCTTCAAATTTTAACATATGTGTTCATTTCATTTTCACACAGTGTAAGCCGGGAAATTTACCCACCCTCTAGCAGCTATGTGCTACAAACACAGTAAGCACATAAAGAATGTTTCCAGGACCACCGAACAGAAAGAGGTCCATGTTCCAAGCACAGTAAGATATGAACACTGAAATAAAGAGTGAGGTGGAAGCACCAGTCGGGCAACTCACCCAAGCCTAGCAGAATTATTACTCCAGGATGTGTGATGCTCTAAAATTCTTATTACAAAGCCACTGGTTCAATGTAGAAAGTCGACTTTATAAAACATGCCCTGGGGAACCGGCATGTAAACAACAGTTCAGTGTCCCTCTGAGTGCCCACCACAGATGTTTGCCCAACCACACCTAGACAAACTCCCTTCCTTCCATATACCCTTTATTGGGCCACCTTTGCTCATACTTTGCTTCCACCTGGGACATCCTCTCCATAACTAAACTATACTTCCCATCTTACCACCCGCAACCTCATCCAACCTTTTATCTTCCATTAAGATTGGTTAAATCCACACAGACTCTCCTTCTTCCAAGCCCACAGTATGTTATTTACACTATTATATAGTTTCTGCTTTGCTTTATTTTATATTTATTTATCTATCCCCAGAATAGATTCTGAGAACAGCAAAAAATGTTTACTTCACCTTTGAATGTTCCTAACACAGAGCACATAGCAGATAATTAATAAATAGTGAAATAATCCAAAGGCAGGAACTGGGAACCTGAAGGGGAAAAATGAACCTCCCCTCCTTTGGCTGCTAAAAGGCATATCCATAAAAGTACCTGTTCAACTCCTAGCTCACCTTCTGAAGGCACGCCTCTGAACCAACTCCTAATTGAAATGCATTCTAGCAAGGTTACCTAGCAGGTTTCAAATACACAACCAATTAGAAGCATCAAAATAGAAGTGCTCAGGAGACAGCACACCAGAGGCCCTTGTACTGCTGCAAGACCTGACAGCGACCAATCCTGGGATCACAAAACAAAGAAACCAAAGCTGACAACTCAAAAAATACAGCAGCCTGAGCTCACTTGATGGAGCAGGAAAGTGTGCCATGTACCATTTATTGCCACTGCCTCAGAGAAGACCATCCGCATGGTACAATGGCCTGATGTTTCCAAATACACAATGATTAGCATTGTCCTTACACCCAGACTTATTTTTAGCCTTCTTCTGCTTAAGGTATTAAGTATATGTGACGAGTTATATGAAAACCACTTATAAAACAGTTCAAACTTAAAGAACATGATACTTGAAGGAATATCACTGAATTAGCTAGAAAATTTGCTTACACAGAGTCCCTACTCTTCTAAGTAGCCCTATGGGATAATAAGATATCATGGTAGAATTCTGCCAGACAGAATAAACTGGCTGGCATTAAGTTCATTAAAGAGTACTGAAAATATATCTAACTAATGCACGTGATGGCTCATAGCACAAAGTTTTCTTAACTGCAGCTTACAGGACAAAGTCAAATGGAACATCAGACATTCGTTTGTGGCAGCACTGCCCACTGAAATAAAGCAACACTGATCACTCAAGGAAACATGAAAATTAACACACTCTAAGATAAGACTTAATAAAGTATCTTATAAGATAGCTTGACTATAACATTTGAGCCCAAGATTCCAACTGTATAAAATAGACACACACAAACACAGTTGGCATACAATCCCATCTGTGGGTGCTAATGTCCGTCCCCCCCCCGCCCCGTAGTTGGAAAACTGCGGCTCGCGAGCCACGTATGGCTCTTTGTCCCCTTGAGTGTGACTCTTCCACAAAATACCACATGGGGGTGTGCACATACAGTGCAATTGAAACTTCGTGGCCCATGCGCAGAAGTCGGTATTTTGTGGAAGAGCAGGTATTTTGTGGAAGAGCCACACTCAAGGGGCCAAAGAGCCGCATGTGACTCGCGAGCTACGGTTTGCCGAGCCACAGTTTCCCGACCACTGCTAGACTCTAGGGCCTAGAGTAAAATACTATATGCTTAAGGGGACTCAATGTGTATGAAGGCCTTTAGGGTAAAGGTTTGGGGAAGAAAGAGATCCTGTTTATGTCAGAAAACCAAAGACAAGGGGAAAGATGGTGGAGGTAAAGCATACCAACCTTTACTCTAGTTAAACTATAAAAATGAGTCTAAAATGTTTTCATCCTAAAATAGAATCAGCATAATCAATAATTCAGAGAAAATGCCATTCATCCAGGAGATGGCTACTGTAGAGCATTAAAATAATTGCCTTAATATACAACCTTTAGGTGTCCTGTTACAGAATTCTATCTAATAATAGAGAAACATGGTAATTAACCGTAACTTCACTACCCTTCCCATTGGCTAATCAGCGAGATATGCAAATTAACTGCCAACAAAGATGGCGGCCAGCAGCCACGCAGCTGAAGCGAACATGAGGCTTGCTTGCTCCAGTGATGGAGGAAGACAAGGTTCCCCGCCTCCTGCGGCCCAGCTCTGAGCTCCAGATGCAACAATGTTGCAATTATAGAAGCTAAACAAACCCAGAAACCTGCTTTCAGCTGCCAGCGGGCTCAGAGCTTAGAGCGCCAGTGATGGCAACAGAGTTTCAATTATAGAAGCTAAACAAACCCAGAAACCTGCTTTCAGCTGCCAGCGGGCTCAGAGCTTAGAGCGCCAGTGATGGCAACAGAGTTTCAATTATAGAAGCTAAACAAACCCAGAAACCTGCTTTCAGCTGCCAGCGGGCTCAGAGCTTAGAGCGCCAGTGATGGCAACAGAGTTTCAATTATAGAAGCTAAACAAACCCAGAAACCTGCTTTCAGCTGCCAGCGGGCTCAGAGCTTAGAGCGCCAGTGATGGCAACAGAGTTTCAATTATAGAAGCTAAACAAACCCAGAAACCTGCTTTCAGCTGCCAGCGGGCTCAGAGCTTAGAGCGCCAGTGATGGCAACAGAGTTTCAATTATAGAAGCTAAACAAACCCAGAAACCTGCTTTCAGCTGCCAGCGGGCTCAGAGCTTAGAGCGCCAGTGATGGCAACAGAGTTTCAATTATAGAAGCTAAACAAACCCAGAGCCAGTACAGCGGTGGTGGTGGGAGCCTCTCCTGCCTCCTCAGCAGCGCTAAGGATGTCCGACTGCAGTTTAAGTCTGCTCCCCGCTGACAAGTGGACATCCCCCGAGGGCTGCCAGGCTGCCAGAGGGATGTCTGATTGCCAGCTTAGGCCCAATCCCCTGGGGAGCAGGCCTAAGCCAGCAGATGGTCATCCCCCGAGGGGTCCCAGACTGTGAGAGGGCACAGGCCGGGCTGAGGGACCACCCCCACCCCCGAGTGCACAAATTTTTGTGCACCGGGCCTCTAGTTAAATACATAAAACTCCAAACAGCTAAAGGCAGCCCCCATCAAAATCATTCTACTGGAAGAGTTTATTTAGGGCAGTGCTTCTCAGACTTGAAGATGCTTCTGAATCTCCTAGGAATCTTGTTAAAGTGGATCATATTAGTCAGGGTTCTCCAGAGAAACAGAATCAACAGGAGTGTACACACACAGAGAGAGATGTATTCTAAGGAATCGGTACATGAGATGGTGGAGGCTTGGCAAGCCCAGAATGTGCAGGGTGGCTGGCAGGCTGGAGACCCAAGGGAAGATCTGATGCTGTTCGAGTCTGAATGCCATCTGCTGGCAGAGTTTCTTCTTGCCCAGGGAGGTCAGACTCTGTTTTACTAGTAGTCAGGCTTTCAAATGACTGGATGAAGCCCACCCACCTTATGGAGGGTAACCTGCTGTACTCAAGTCCACCAATTTCAACATTAATCTCATCCAAAAATCACCTTCACGGGAACATCTACAATAATGTTTGCCCAAATATGGCCCAGCCAAGTTGACTTAAAATTAACCATTTCATGCATATTCTGATTCAGTAGGTCTGAAGTGGGCCTGAGATTCTGTATTACTAATGAGTTCCCACATGGGGTAATGCCTGTCCAAATACTACACTTTGAGTAGCAACTACCCTTGAGGAGGTAGATTTGTTCAAATCTCCTATTTGCAGTTAATCCAGCTAAAAACTATAAGATATAAAAAGCTGGGAGACATTTCCCATTCACTGTACCACGAGAAAGAACATCTATAGGTGAAATGGACAAATAAAAGTGCTTCCCAGCAGAAAAATCTGTTCACCCAGGTGAATTAGTCACCCCCAAAAGATTCCCACTCACACTGCATAGGTCAGCATCCCTGCCAGGGTGGCTGTTCCCAGCAAGGACAGGCAGGGGCTATGAGCAAGTCCAGGCATTTAGCAAGTCTTAGAACCCAGAGGATGGGGAGAAATGACCGGAAGAAAACAAACATTTCCTATGATTCACTCAGTTTTCCCTAAACATCTGCTAGGCCAGTGTTCCCTGAAATTGGGTGACAGGAAGAATGACTAAGGACTTGTCAAAAACCCACTCATCCATCAACAGATATTTACTGAGCCCCATTTACATACCAAGTGCTGCGCTAGGCACTGCAGGGAACCAACTGGTCAAAAATGCATTCCCTGCAGAGAACTACATTCTACAGGACAGATTACATTTTTAAAAATACATAGCAGACTAGATGGTAGTGAACACTGTGGAGGAAAATAGATAGGGAAGGAGGACACAGAGGGGTACACTGGTGGAGGCCAGGGGAGGGGTGTTATTTCACTGGAATATCAGGGAAGGTTTCACTGAGAAGGTGTTGTGTGAGCTAAGCCCTGAAGAAGGTGAAGAAGCAGGAATGCATCACGTGGATACACCGG